TCAGTATGCGTCGATACAGCCACATTTCTAGAGCCGCTAACTTCTTTATAGTTCCTGCTGTTAACGTCCAACCTTCTACGCCGTAAAGTAGCGTAGAGAGTACGTAGCATTTCGTGGCGCGCCATCGGAGGTTAATGCTTAGGTTGCGGTTGCTTAAGAGCTTTCTCATTTTGATGAATTTGGATCTTGCTATTTCAATTCGGATCTTAATCTCTACTTCTGGGTCCCACTTGTCATTTACTGTATATCCCAGATATTTAAATCGGTGTACTCTTTCAATACGTTCGTCTTCAATATGCAGGTCGATATGTTGAAATTTTTTTTTACTGATCACCATAAATTTAGTTTTCTTTCTATTGATCTTCAGTCCAAATCGGCTGCCAGTTGTATTAACTCTATGTAGCATCATCTGTAAATCTTCGATGTTATCGGCCAGTATAATAGTATCATCTGCATATCGAAAATTACTTATTGCTACGCCATTAATCTTGATGCCCTCATTGTACTCTTCTAGTGCCTCTAGAAATATTTGTTCCGTGTACAGGTTGAAAAGCAGTGGCGAAAGAATACAGCCCTGTCTTACCCCTCTAGAAATGGTTATGTTTTCACTCACCATATGTCCATTCTTCAGGTGGGCTGTTTGATTCGAATATAGATTTTTTATAATCTGGATGTCCTTAGTGTCAAGTCCTGAAAGACGTAATAGTTCTATGAGTTTGTCATGTTTGATAGTATCGAATGCTTTCTCATAGTCGATAAAACAGACGTAAACATCTTTCTGTTGATCCAGGCATTTTTGAATCAAAACTTGTATTGCAAAGAGGGGTTCTCGAGTTCCAAAACCGCATCTAAAACCGAACTGTGTTTTACTTATGCTGTGTTCTAATTTTGCTTGTATTCTGGAATGGATAATGCGCAAAAATACTTTAAGGGTGTAACTCATTAAACTTATAAGGCGATATTCACTACACGTCTTAGAATTATATTTCTTGGGAAGAGGCACAAATGTAGATTTCAAATAAAACTACAATAATAAAACTAAACCTACAAAAAATAAAACTAAAACCTACAAATAAAAAATACTATTTTACTTCTAATAAAAGGCTTATTTTTATTGTTATTAACTGTATTGTAGAGTTTATATTTGCCACTTTTTCAAAAAAAAAAAAATTCTATAAAAATTCTTTTAAAGTTTTTAGTTTTTAGTCTGTGAGCCCACATTATAGACAAATCCTTAAAAATAAAATAATTTTATCCACAAATTAATTATTATTTATTCAATATTTATGTAGAGATCTCAAAAACTTAAGAGAATGAAAAAACTCCGACCATGATATTCGCCGAAGCCGGTGTCGAACAGAGTATTCGAGGAAGAAATCTGAAACATAAAGAAGAGTGGAAAATGGAATTGCAGACACTTAAAGCAATTCTAATCATAAAGAAAACAGCTTTATAGCGATCAATGTGACGCCACTGAACAGCAAAAACACCTGATTCGATTCGAAGAATCGTAATTTCTAGTCGGGTGCATAAATGGGCCCAGAATGGGACTAACCACCCCCTGAATGGTGGTAAAAACCCCCAAGCCCGGGCCTTTTTCCTAATGGCGAATACTAAACTACAGGAAAGGTCGAAAATCTCGTTTGGAGAAGGGTTTCTCGAATAAAACTTTCTTAGTTTTCGGTCTATTTCCACAATGGAATTCCGGCGGATGCGAAAAGATAAAATTAAAAATGAAAATCTATTTGCATACTTCCGGAAGAGGAAGGAAATGGAAAGAACATATTCTTTTAAATTTTTGATAAGTTGCATAAATGATTTTTTATTCAGAGGTAAACTTTCAGTCACGTTAGGGTCTTTCTTTTCCAGTGTAACAAAACAATAAAAGCGAACAACTTTTGGTTTTTACTGAAGTAGAAAAACAGTAGGTAGATAAATCCCCTTTTTCGGGAACTTTTTCATTGTGATCAGTAAAAATAGCTCTGGGAATGAGGCAGATATACGAGGGATAATAAACTTTCCAAGAATTGAAAATAAACTTTAAAATAACTTAGATCAATTACTTGTTTTATAATATCATTTAGATCAATAATTAGCCAAATATATACATAGGCCTTTCTTTGTAATATCTTCAATGAAACGGTAGATTTGGATAACATATTTTGTAACTATAGTAAATACACAACTCAAACAGCGTTAGTAACAAGCTTACATATTTTCTAGCTTACCCTGGTATACAAAATACTTGCCTTAAAATATGTTCAAAACGACCTTTGGACGAGAAAGGTGTGTCCTAATCCTAATATACTTCTTACTAAAATTCTGTTCGTTAGAATTAAAAGGGCGTAAGTCCATTTTCACAGTAAATGGAGGTATGCAGCCAATAATACACTTTAAGGTATTATCTTTCGAATGGTGCTTAATATGTGGTTGTCTAGGTAAAAAACCCTATGCGATACATCGGTCTTTTTTTGCACGGCACACTGATTCTTAAAAAGACGGTAGTCCAATCTCTATGGAGCTATGTCAGCTGTGTAAAAATTGAGGAGCGCCTAAATGGAGGACTCCGCAGATCGTGCCGTGACGTCACCCATCAGTTTCTAAACTTAACGTGATGTCACCACCCACACGTGATTTTTGGTATACCGTATAACCTAAGAAATTATTTTTTGACGGACAATTCGTTGTTATTTTAATTGTAGATTCCTTTCTTCAAAAATAAATGAAAATGGGAGTGTTTTGTCTTGAGTGTAATATGGTGTTTCAGACCCAATCAAGTCTTAATCGGCACAATAGAAACTTGCATAAAAAGTATGCAGATTATATAGAACATGAAAGTTCTAAAAGATATTGCTGCAAGGAATGTAACATATTTTTCATCTGCCAGATAAATACGTAATCGGAGGTGAAGAAACTTCCCTTATCATAGCGACGATCTTATTATATTTACTTATTTACATTTTACAACACTTTACATTTACAATACAACATAATTGGTGACGTCACTCTATATTCCTATCTGTCAAGTTTGACGTCACGGCACAATCTGCGAAGTCCTCCTTTTAGGCGCTCCTAAAAATGGAGGTTATGAGCAAATGTTTTTGCATGGTTTATAGATAAAAATAATTTTTTCTTTGTCCTGATTAATATGGTAATAAAAAGAACAACTAGAAATGTCTAAATCAAGAGCTATAAGGATGGTAAAAATGGTCCTACGAAGATGGTTTACAAGAAAACACTGAGGGTAAGTGAACTTTGTTCTGTGTACTGTGAAAGTCTTCAAATTCTGTGCCTATCCTTTCTAAACATTACTAACTTAAACAAGGTACACAATTGTTGTGAATTTGTTGTTGTGAAGTTTAACCCACTTTTTCATACTTAATAAAAAAAGCTTAATTTTTAATAAAACTATTTAAGGGGTATCGCAATAATTGAAGCATTCCTATTTTTAAGATATTCCTGATGTTCACTCTACTTATGTATCTGATTCATCTGAATCTGATTCATCTAATGAACAAGACCACGTTTCTTTATTATAGTTTATTCGTCTTCCGGGTTTGGACCGTGTCATTTGTGAGTGACCCAAAAGTGGGTTCATCTCGACGTTTCGCTACAATTGTATGTATCTTCTTCAGGAGAACAAAAAAAAAAAATCAAAAGACAGGAAGATGGGTAGTTAGCAACGGTAACTCAGTTACTCAATGCAACCAGAGGCGAATACTAACTACCAAGACTACTAACTAACTACTAACTCTGGTTGCGTTGAGTAACTGAGTTACCGTTGCTAACTACCCATCTTCCTGTCTTTTGATTTCTTTTTCTTTGTTCTCCTGAAGAAGCTACATACAATTGTAGCGAAACGTCGAGATGAACCCACTTTTGGGTCACTCACAAATGACACGGTCCAAACCCGGAAGACCAATAAACTATAATTCTGACTCTGGCCGTGGAAGCCTACGATTTCACAAGACCACGTTTCTGTTTATGAGAACCATAAAACCTACTGTCAGTTAAAGGCTGTTATGTTTAATGATGTTTCCAATGAAAATTTCTCCGTGGATGAAGAAATTGAGAGTGAAAACATATCTGAGGAACTTTCGGAACTTTTGGTGTGTAATATAATCGAGACTCCGTTTAGGCATTAAAAAAATGAAGATGAAAGGGATGTTCTTTTACATGGTCGACCAACCAGTATTTTAAACATCTGTGTCTGAGTGGGCGGCTGAATCGAAACTCACCAACCAGTTTTAGCAGGCGTGGTGTTTTAATCGCCAAAGAACCCTCAATGAAATGTCGAAGGTTCAGAACTAAAATACCCCAGACAAACAGCGAAAAGAGGCAGATCCTAATGGAGTTGAAAATATTTTAAAGAAAAAGGCAGATCATTTGAATGACGCAAATAAATAATGAAAAAGTATCATTGCAAAGAGTTTTCCGCAGTTGTTTTCAACAACGATAAATACTTGTAATAACGTTACAAGTTCTTAACATACGAAAAAATCCAGTGAAACAATTAGAAAGAATAAATCTTTCTGTATAACTGCAATCTAATTATTATAATATTGTATTGTTATTTTGTATTATAAATTACCTTTCTTAAGACGGTCCTGCGCACTTTTCAACGATTCAGAATGCTACTTGTGCTGTCACCTGTTGAATATACTTATATAACTACATAGAAATCTGTTTTCTGCTGTACCGCCATCTACCAGTACTTTAGATGACTAATAGTTATGTTGACGTTTGAGGCATCATTGCCGAGTTTATTGTAAAAGAAATAGGGGTGATTTTATTAACTATAAAAATAATCTAGTTATCTACTGTAGCCAATAATTATAAGAACTAAGCATTTGTGGTAGTTTTACTTTAAAATAATAAATAAATGAATCTTCAATATCAGCTCAATATCTTATAATATATTATGCAAAAAATAAAGTTTCTTGTGTACCACTGCGACAAGCGGCAACATTGTAATGAAATAGTTCAACAACAACTAAAACTTTCAAAGTGTATATTTATTATTTAAATTTTAAAATAAAACCTCAAACAAATGAACAAGTGGATAATAAAGTGGTATTAGCAATTAGTTTTCGAATTAAATATAAAGCTGTCGTATGATTTCATGTAATATTTGGATTGATTCATTCAAAGGTAAGTCTCATGGGTTATATTATTATATCTTTCCCGCCAATTTGTCTATTTTCCATAAAAACAAAATAATGTTTTAAATTTGTGTTTTAGCCTTATGATATTTTACCCTGATATTACATAGTAGCTCTTTTAGACTTATCCCATTTTGAAAACTGTTCTTATAATTATGTTGAATGTTGATCTTTACATTAGTTCTACAGCTTTCAATTTATAGTCTTTTCATAATTCCAATTTTATAGAATTAATAATTCCCTTTTTATAATTCCAATATTTTGATACCTTTTTATATGAACGGTGTTTTTACAAACATATTAATAGAATTTTGACAACATTGAAGACCAAATTGAAGAATGATTATATTATATTGGCCAATAAACACAATGGAATCTTCTTTGTTCAATTATTAAATATTCATTTTAAACAAAATTTAAAGCACACAATTGCTGAAAATACCATTTTATAAAATACATTCTTTTCTATTGCAATAATTGCATAACATTATTAATTATATTTTTTAATTTAATTTAAAAACTTGTTATTATTAAAAATAATATTTTTTGATATCCTAGCAATGCATCCAGCTCATCTTAGCCTCTGCACTTTACCTATACACAGATACAGACATTATGAAATTTATTACCTTCCTGGTATAATTCAAAGTTATATAATTAATGCTGTAGCACATTTCCCAATATTTTATTGGCAATTGCAATATTTATGCTATGCTGGGGTGAATGTACCAATTTCCAAGCAAATTAGGATTTTTGGAATTAAAAAATTAATATAAAATTGAATCATTAGTTTTTGAATGTAAAACTTCTAGCATTTATTAGAATATATTATGTATTTTAAAAATACATTTAATATTATAACATATCTTTGATGTAACCAATGTTTTTTAATTATCAAACTTCCACTTCCACTTGAGAGGGACATTGGGAAAGAAGAATTTGTTTTCACATTTTTGACTTTTTCTTAAATAAGAAATTTCTTCCTTCTTCTTTATTTTTACAATTTGACCTATATAATATCCTTCTTTGCCTCTAATTTCTGTAGGAAATTTGGCCAAACCAAAGTTTTCTGCTTCAGGATCTTTAAGATCTTCTAGATTTGGAGAGGGAGGTCTCGATTGTAGGATGTGGGAAAATTCTGCATTGTCCAATAAATTGTATTGTGTGTCCATAAATTTATCTTCCTCATCAGAGATGATGATGAAGACTCTTCTAATAGCTTATTTCTTTTCTTCATATTTTTTTCTCTATCCGTTAATTGTATTGCTGCCCTTCTTTTTTGTAGCTCTTTTTTTTGTTTTCTTTTTAAGTCTTTCTTTTTTCTTTTGATCTTTTTGTATTTTTCTTCATCTTTTTTCTTCCAGTATTCAACCCAAGCTTCAGCACCTGCTGCATGTGGAAGCTTGATACTTCTTCTAATTCTTCCTCCCTTTTTAACTGGTGATTGTGTTGGCCAAGTAACACAGTCAGCAAAAGCAGGACTTACCCCTGTTTGAATAGACTTACCAGATTTTGGTGTAGTGAATGACTGACTTAGAGGTTGGCTGTGGATTATTTTCTTTACTTTGCTGTTTATGTTCTTCTAGTAAGGTCTGGATACTAGTATTCCATTCATTTTCATTAAAATATGATTCGGAATTCACCTGGGCGATACATTCATTGTGTTCATTTTGAATTGGGGTGATTTCTGAATTTTGTAAGATCATCTGACTCCTTATCATCAGATTCGGAATTCAGCTGGGCAATAATTAATTCTTTGATAAAATGAAAGGCAGATATCAAGCACAATTTTATTAATTAATTCTTGCCCAAGTACTTTCGCTTTCAAAAACATCATCAGGGACATTTCGTCAATTTTAGACTATCCAACAAGTGCAGAATGTAATAAACATGAAATTAAACATAAAATAGTACAAACACTACACTAAACAAGGACAAACAGTTTAAAATTATTTAAAAATTAATCGAAGCTACATTCTTGTCGGCAACAGAAGTGAGAATTGCATTCATGGTGCATTCACTCTATGTAGAACAAGTACATATTTAGGAAAACTACAAATTTTAAAGTGCTTAAGACATTTTATATTCGAGAATCTAATTGTAAGTCATATAATTCATGCACTCTTTATCTCTGCTTGTATCAGAATCATATGCTGAAGATTCATGCAGAATTCGAATGATATCTTAGGGAGAGGTAATTTTTTGTTATTTTATTTCTTATTTTGTTTTTAAAATGTATACTACTTATTTTGGGATGTGATGCATATATTTTTAGATTATTATTATTAGATTAGATTATTATTATTGGTGATGGAAAATTTTCGAGAACAAAAGAATTGAGTTATTGAATCCTCTAATTTTCTAAACTTCTAACCTTCTAATAGGTAAACCTAGTCCATGATATTCACCAGTTTGCTTAGTTAAGAGGGTTAATGGCCAGCATAGCTTTTGTTTTGATGGTAGGGTCCTCAATGAAGTATCTAAATGAGACACATATCCCTTACCTAATTATTTAAAGGTACAACATATAAGTTCCACTGCCTTGAGAAAAGCTTTTGGCAAATACCTCTAGATCTTTCTTTAAGAAAAAAAAACTGTTTTTAGTATCATAGGTAGAGGTTCCTTCCAATGACCATTTTTATTTCGAAGTCCCTATGAACTCAACACCATGTTTATAAAGAATTATTTATTTTATATAGTAAAGTAAACAATATATTGTAGTTTTTAAATTAAGTTTAATTGAAATCGTTGATAAAAATTTTTATACAGGGTGAAATACGAAACAAATTATGATTTTATCAATTTTTTTAAATGGGTCACCCTATATTTTATTTTTTTTTAAATGTATTTATGATAGTCTTTTATTTTTATATAGCATTTCCTATACCTAACCTAAACTCATTACTTTCCGAGATATTTTTAGTTTTCCTAAAATTTTGGAAGTACATTCAATATGTGGAAGTAGAAATAAGTATTGAGTATTGAGTGATAATATAACAAAATTATTTTTATTCAATAAATATCTAACAAAAAATATAAACCATAGCAATATGCAATGAATGTATCAATAAATGTGCTATTATGGAAATATCATATTGTCCTTAATGAAATTAAGGTAATGCAAGATTCCTAACATTCCTACAAGATAATAGGTTTTGTGTAATAATATAATTAGATGATTATTTTTATTCAATAAATAACTCACACAAAACAGAAAGCAAAACAATATACAATCGCTGTAACAATTTTTAGATTGTTATACCAACAGTATTCTCAGCCAGGAATTTTTAATAAAACATTCCTAACTGTCCATGCTGTCCATTGTGATGCGCAGTTATTAATAAGTAAAAGGCCATTTGTGTCAGTTACAAAGGTAAAATAGTAGACTTTGAAAATGACCGTTTTCATATTATTACCTTTTTAATTGGTCTGTCCTCAAACGCGCGAAAACATATCACAGCAAATAAATAGTAAAATACACAGAATATCAAATATACCAAACAAAAACAGAACCATTAACGAATGCTGGTGTGCCATTCAAAACTCGATTTTAGAGAACGTACAAGAGTCTTTGAAAACACCTACCATGTAGGCAAAAAATGAGTGGATGACACAAGAAATTCTAGATCTGATGGAAGTTCGACGGCAACACAAAAATAGAAATATTATCGAATATCGTGAAATTAATAAACGCATAAAAAGAAAAATTAAGCAAGCCAAATAATCCTGGCTTGAGAATTTATGTAAAGAAATAGAAGACCTCCAAAAAAAGCATGACAGCTTCAACCTACATAAGAAACTTAAATATACTGCCGGAATTAGAAAACAGAAAAATGTTCACATACTTAAAAGCGCGGACGGAAAAATTTGTGATCACGAACAACAGTGCAAAGAATGGGAGAGATACATCACTGACCTTTTTGACGATGCTTCTAGAGAAAATGCTCCAAATACTGCCTGTGACAACCAGTTGGACAGAGGTCCCAATATACTGAATTCGGAAGTCGAAAAGGCAATACAGCAAGCCAAAAACAATAAAGCACCTGGACCAGATCAAATCCCTGCCGAACTACTTAAACTTTTGGATGAGGAAAGCATTGCCTGCTTAACCACTTTCTTCAACAAAATTTACAACGAAGGAAAAATACCAGATGATTGGTTAGAGTCACTGTTTATAACATTACCAAAGAAAAGCAGGCCCACCAAATGCAGCGATTTTAGACTAATCAGTTTGATGAGTCACACACTGAAAATACTCTTATACAAAGATATTGAAGATACGAATTATACAAAACCGAGTATTCCTTCTATGCGAAAGTAAGATGGGTGATAAGCAATTTGGATTTAGAAACGGTCTAGGAACTAGAGAGGCACTATTTTGTATGCGCGTTCTATTACAAAAAAGTTGTGAATTCCGAAAGAATGTTTATGTTTGTTTCATCGACTTCGAGAAGGCGTTCGACAGAGTTCAACACAATACACTTTTCGACTGCCTACGGGCAGCAGGACTTGACGACTATGATATAAGACTGCTGAAATACTTATATTACAATCAAGTAGCCTCTATCCAAATTGGAGACAGTCCCACTGAAAAACTACCCATCAAACGTGGATTACGGCAGGGTTGTGTTTTGTCACCCACTCTTTTTAATCTGTACTCTGAAGAAATCTTTAGGGAGGCTTTGGATGACAGACAAGAGGGAGTAAGACTAGGTGGAGAAGTAATCAACAATATTAGATACGCTGAGGATACAGCCATTCTTGCAGAAAGTTTACAAGATCTCCAAACATTACTAAATCTAGTCAGTGAAGCAAGTTATCGGAGAGGCCTAATAAATCAACATTTCAAAGACAAAGTGGATGGCAGTTGGAAAGATCCATATAGATCAAGGTCTGCTTTCTCTTAATGGAGAAGAGATAGAAAGGGTAAATCATTTCAAATACCTTGGCAGCTGGTTAAATGTAAATTGTGACTCTGATGAAGAGATA